AGGGGCTGATCACCAAAAACATATGCTATCTTTTTATACATAATGTAACTGAATGCTCTTGTGTTTGCTCTTATAGTGTACATCACACTAAAGACAAGGAAGGAGAAGAGACTTGTAAACGCTCACGGTGTGATCTGCATGGATATTGCAGAAGCACATTGCATGATGCTGCTTAAGTAATAATGGTTAAGCCAAATATAAAACGTTGAACATGCAGAGATAGCAGAGGATATAATTTTTAATCAATATTCCAACATAATAGGCAAGATACAAAGGCTGATGGTTTTGTGCCACATAGGACAAATATATTTATGGCTTTTTATTCCTGTGTAGGATGCTAAGAGAGATAATGCATTGAAGATACCTGGTGTCATTTATTATTCAACAGCTTATTGACATGTGTGGTGCTCTATGGTGCCAGGGACACAGCCTCCTCCTTGTTGCTCCACCTGCATGGCCTGGATCTCATGATCTAAGACTTCAAGCAGCAGGACAGAGGAAGAAAAAGAGAAATTGCCACCATATGACATTCCTACCTATTTCCACCTATGTGCAAGGAGCTGGGAAATGTTTTTATGCTTGGCACCTCTGTGTAAAAAATTTGGGACATCTATTGCCACAGATGAATGAAAGCATAGATATTGGGGGACAACTAGTACCCTTTGCCACAAGCATCTATTGCAGGATGTCTCAACCTTGGCAACACTGACGTTTTGGGTCAGATAATAGTTTGTTGTGGGTGGCTATCCTGTGCATTGCAGAATGGGTTTGGCAGCATCCCTGGCCTCTATCCACTAGTAGCATGCCAGTACTTGTGACAACCAAAAATGTCTCTAGACACTGCTCAATGTTCCTTGCGCATTCCTCTCCACTCCGTTAATGAACCACTGATCTACTGTGTGCAGGAACTGTGTTAATCACTGGAAAAGAGCCAAAACCAACCATAAATAATTTCAGACAGTGATAAATGCTATGATGAAAATAAAATAGGGTAAGAAGACAGAGAGGCCTGGGATGAAGCATTTACTATGTATGCAAAAATCCTAATGGAGAAAGATCTTGGCTTGTTCTAAGAAGAATCAGAATGCAGGTGTATCATGATCCTAGGGGAAAAAGGAAGAATGCAGGTGTGGATGGCAGGCAGGCAGTCAGAGATGAGGCTGGAGAGTAGGTGGGAGCCTGGTGAGCCCTTGGGTGTTTGATCTTAACTGCAGTGGGAAATAACTGGGAGACTTTGAGGAGGAATAATATGATCTATGCATTTTTTAAAAAATCAGGTGGCTACTGAGAGCATATATATGAGAGGGGGTTAAGATAATCTCATCCTCCCGAGTAGTTGGGCAAGCCATCATGCATGGCTAATTTTAAAAAAACCTTTTTTTGTAGAGAAGGGGTCTTCCTATGTTGCCCAGTCTGGTCTGGAACTCCTGGTCTCAAGCAATCTGCCTGCCTCAGCCTCCCAAAGTGCTGGGATTATGGGCGTGAACCACCATGCCCAGTCTGTAAATTTATTTTCATAGTTCTGGAGGCCAGAAGTCCAGTATCAGTTTCAGAGTGTCTGCAGGGCCATGCTCCTGCCAGAGGCTCTAGGGAAGAATCTGTCCCTTGCCTCTTCCAGCTTCTGGTGGCTGCCAGCATTCCTTTGCCATGGCTTCATCATCCCAATCTCTGCCTCTGTGGTCACACTGCCTTCTCCTCTGCTATGTGGTAGTATCTTCCTCAGCCTCTCTCTATAAGAATACTTGTGACTGCATTTAGGGCGCATCCAGATTACCCAAGATAATCTCTCCATCCCGAGATCCTTAACTTAATCACATCCTTTACCACAGAAGGCAATATTCCCAGGTTCCAGGGATATCTTTTGGGAGGCTATAATTCAGCCTACCACAGTTCCTGAAGTGTTTGAAATCACTTCTGGTTATAGAAGGAGGGACTAATAAAGTCACGTGTTTAGATATCAAGGTGGAAGGCAACGCTGGGAAAGTAATTTAAAAAATTCCATTTAGTAAATTAAATATTAAAAAAAAGAAAAAGAACACAGAACTTTCAAAAGTGTATTTTCAAGATTTCTAAGAAAGGTAGGCTAAGGAAGCTAGGCTACATGGACTCTGAACAAATCCTTCTAGACATTAAGTCAATGCTTAAAAGCACTGTTATATTCACACACCGTATAGTGGGCGCAGTGTGTCACATGTCAGTGGGCTGGGCAAGGGCCGTTCTGCTGTGGGGATCCACAGATGGGAGGGGTGGTGAGAAGGACAACAGGTGCAGGTGCATCGCAGCAGCTGTGGTTGGGTGGCCCAATGAGGAAGCAGAAGCGACACCGCAGGAAAAGAGAGACCAGCTCCAAGAACTCCAAGAATAGGTAAGATTGAGGGATCCAGGCAGGCTGGGGGCAACAGGACAACATCTCAGAAAGTAGTTAAACTTCAGGCTCTAGATTGGAGTTCTGGGGCAGGACTATGTCACTGAAAGAAAATCCTAGATCCCAGAATACTGGGATAAATAGCCAAGAGAGGAACTTAAGCCCTAAGGAACAAGGAAGGAATCTAGTTAACAGTACTGGGGTGCCAGACAGAGCTGGACAAGCAAAGCAACAAAGATGACTCATGCCAAATGCTAGAGTGTAGCTGGAACTTCTTAAGAGCTACTTCCTAGAGACCAGAACTTCAAGGCAGATTTACAAGGGAGAAAGTCTGATAAAACTCTAGGTAATTCTAATGGAAAAAGGTAAGAATAAAATTCTTGTGTTTGAATCCATAATATAACCTAAGACATAATGAAGTCATTACTGACAATGGGAAGAAAAATAATTTAATATACAATATAACTAGATCAATACGATACATATTTACTTATATGCTTTGCTAAACACCATCTTTGGTAAGGAGAACAAAAGGAAGAAACAACAAACATAGCTTGAGAGACAGGTAGCTGGTAAAGGGCAGAGTCTGGAGCAAATTCCCTGGCTCAAACCCTGGCTAACACGTGGCAATATCTTCTGTTTAGCGAATTATAGCTGGTCTCTGCATGAAGACTAGAGGAATACCTGGGGAACCAGGATACCAGAATTCTAGACTCCAATCCTGGCTCTGAATCTAACTATCCATGTTACCTTGGAAAAACTGCTCCAACTTGTGAGGTCTTAGGTTACAGATCTGTAAAATTGAGAGGGTTAAAGTCTAAGAGCCCTTAAATGTAAACTTTAAAGTGCTCTTTTGGGAATCTTTCAAATCCTCATGTTCTTCAAATTGTACCCAGACTTTCTTCTTTCTACACAGTCTGAACAACTTTGAAAATCACTGTATTATTTTAGTTTATACAGCAATCCTGATCTAAATTTTATTATTCCCATTTTGGAGATGAGGTAATAGAGGTCTAGCATGCTAAGTAAGTGTTGAAGCTGGGATTCGATTTTATTTTATTTTTCCCTTTTTTGTCTTTTTTTAGACTTCAGCCGGTTTATATGGGATTAGATTTTAGTTTGCCAATTTTTTTTTTTTTTTTTGAGAGAAGTCTTGCTCTGTAGCCCCGTTTAGAGTGCAGTTGCGTCGTCGTAACTCACTGCAACCTAAAACTCCTGAGCTCAAGTGATCCTCCTGCCTCAGCACCCCCCTACGTAGCTGGGACTACAGGCGCACACCACCACACCCAGTTAATTTTTTCTATTTTTGGTAGAGATGGGGTCTCGCTCTTGCTCAGACTGGTCTGGAACTCCTGACCTCAAGTGATGCCCCCACCTTGGCCTCCCGGAGTGCTAGGATTACAGGCATGAGCCACCAAAGTCGGCCTAGTTTGCCAATTTTAAAGCTGTGCATTTTCTACTTTCCTGTATGTTATTCTGACATTAGACTTGATTCCTGTAAAGTAGGCCAGGATCCCAAATTTTCGATATCTATATATTTATCTATGTAGCTCTCACTTTGATATTTCTAAGTCTATGCTTTGAGCTATCATTTGTTCACTTCTATTTCAGCACTCCCTTTTCTTGTTATTTATGGTGTTGTCAGCCCATATGGTCTAACTCCCATTTCTTACTCCTGTTAAATGTCTCCTACGTGTCGGTTTTCTAGCAGTAACTCCTGACTTTTATCTCAAATAAAATTTTTATGTATTTGCTCATTTCATCTACTTTACGATGAAAAAATTAAATATGCATGAAGTTGGTGCTAAAATTATAATAAACAACAGAGGATGAAACAAAAACCAGAGAAGTAAAAACTCCAGGAATTATTTCCCATTTTCTTTTATACTTCGGTCTTTTTACAAGACAAGGAAGATAATTTTCATGTCTAAACACTGAAACAACCTAAATCTTACCAATATTATAATCAGGACCACCTTCTAAAGGAAATTCTAAATGAATATTTGAATGGAAAAACAGTATTTAATATTTAGCTTTCAGAATATAGAAAATCTCAGGAAAACTGTGTGACATGAGTGTGTATTTGAGGTAATATTCGTATAATTAGTTACTCTCACAACCATAGGAAACACTGCTTTTTGGATATGTTATACATTAACTTTTCAAGTTAAGCATTCCACATTGTTGTAAAATAAATTCAGTTCAGTGCTATGGCAGTTATGCAAATAGATGTAACTCTATTACTAGATAAACTTGAAAAGATAGAATGCTTACTAATTATGTGTTATTAACACAAATGTCAACAAAAACCAGTACAACAGGTGCAGAAGCATAGTAACAAAAATATAATTATCAATATAGCTATCTTGTTAGAATAAACCATAGTATCATCAGGCTTAAGAAAAACTAAGGTCATTGTTTGTTCTTTCTGACTCTTTTCTATAAATACAGTGGCTAATTCTGATCAGTTATCCTTATTTGCTCTGTGAACGAATTTGCTTATACTAAACAATATTTTCAAACACATAATCATCTGATTAAATAGACTATTATTATTATTGAAAACTCATCAAAGCTTTCAAGGCTATTAATGGTTTCATGCAACTTAAAAAATCTAATTTTGGAAGTAACTGGCTAATGAATTTTTCCTTTTATTGGTAAATAGCCACCATACACCAATGTTATTATCAATATGTAAATATGGTATTTAACATGCTTATGTTTTTCTTAAGAGCTGGAATACAGACTTTGCAATATATCTGAAACATCATCAAACATTTTGATAATGCCATTACAATATAACCTATGCGCGGCATTAAAAAAATTACTGACCAGTCATAATGCATTGTTCTGAACTGAATTTTAAATTTTCTAGAGACTAACATGATAACAAATTTATCGTCTTGACATGATGTATCACAATCTTCTTTTATAATGTTCACAGGCCTTTCTTATTGCCTTTTTCTAAACGATCCTGTAAGAAAAAAATGTGACATGTGGTACAGCAAAGAGAAACAAATTCATAGACATGACAAGGACTTTTAAAAAACATTTTCTCTTCCATTATAATTATGAGAATAATCAAATGTGAACAAAAGGACTGAGAAAGTCTCAAATTTAAAAAACTATAAAATTTGTGCTTTTTATTTAGAGGGGAAAAATAATACTGCTAAGTTCATTTTTTTCTGCCTTAATTTATTTTGCTTTTGTTCCACAAGTTACACCTTGCAAACATAATTTCTAAAATTCCCCTATTGCAAACCCAATTAAGATTTTTGGCAAGGAAAGAATGAAGGGAAGCAAAAAACCCACTGGGGTGGCTTTTATTTTTTTCTTTTTCCTACAGATATTTATTTGCCAATAGATCTGACTTCTCAAATTATATTCTGCTGATAATGTTACAAAGATGACTTAACATGACATTTAAAACTGAAGGAAAATGGAACAGAAATTAACCTTAAGAGATCACTTGCACTAAGAAAGTAAATGCCTACATTAAGAAAAAAAAAAATCCCATAAAATGGAGTTGCAGAATGTTACTGCTTATACAGGAAGTTCATCAAGCTCTTGTTAAGGCTGAGCATTAATGCTTTCAGAGCAACTTTAATAACATTAAGTGACCAATGAAGATTAGAGGAGGTATTCCGAATGATAACGTACTACTTCCACAAAATTATACATATCTGACACCTTTTGATAAAAATTAAAGCTTTAATGAAGCTGCTCTTATGGACAAGTCCCTTAATTAAAGGTTGATTTTCCAAAATGAAATTTAAAAATTGGCAGGTGCTGATGGGTTTGTGCTTCCAACAAGCCCTTGTTAGTTCTTTTTTTTTTTTTTAAGAAGAGAGCCAGGACAAATAAGGAAAGGCAAAGACTACATAATTTGAAGGGACTGTTTTCTAATATTTATTTAGTGCCTATAACAGGGAGGGGACCAGATGGGGAAATCCAAACCAACTGAAAAGATGCAAAGTAGTATCTGTTTACAGTAAAGAAACCAGCTTTTCCCTGTTTAACTTTTGTTTCCTTAGCATTTTAACAGTCCTTTGTTTTATGATCGTTTCACTGAAAGTATGTCAACCATGTAAAATTGAGAAAGCTCATATGTCTTCCAAAGAACTTTAGGATACAACGCAATTACTAAGGTTGGTTTAACAGCAGAAGTAAAATTCATCAGGACAATCTGACACAGCTTTTTACTGTTAGATGGTCTTTTGTTTCTCAAGCAGAGTTCAGAAGGTGGTGAATATTAAAGTTCAAGAGTTACTTTTAAGAAAAGGGTCTTTATTTAATGACATCTAAACATCAGAACCTTAAATAGGTGGTTCTCATATTGGACAATGAGGGTGGGTAAGTAGGTAGATGGGAAAAAATGTAACCAATCAAGACATAACTAATAGCATTTTGTGGCTGTATAGAGCTTTTCTTTTCTTTTTTTTGAGTCTCGCTCTGTTGCCTGGGCTAGAGTGCCATGGCATCAGCCTAGCTCACAGAAACCTCAAACTTCTGGGCTCAAGCAATCCTTCTGCCTCAGCCTCCCGAGTAGCTGGGACTACAGGCATGTGCGACCATGCCTGGCTAATTTTTTCTATATCTATATATCTATAGATATATATATATATTTTTTTTAGTTGTCCAGATCATTTCTTTCTATTTTTTTTTTTTTTTAGTAGAGACGGGGTCTCGCTCTTGTTCAGGCTGGTCTCGAACTCCTGACCTTGAGTGATCCACCCGCCTCAGCCTCCCAGAGTGCTAGGATTACAGGTGTGAGCCACCGTGCCCGGCCTGTATGGAGCTTTTCTTGATTAAAAATATTTAAAGTGCTTTCTTACACAGGATCTGGTTTAATGCTTATAGCCCTCATTTAAGTAATGAAATAGCTGAGGTGCATAGATGGCAGATGAGTCACCTGTGGGTTATAGAACTGGTAAACTATGGAGCTGAGATTTTTTTTCCCCCTTCAAACAGATTTATTACAGGGAGTTTGTTTTGTAGGTGATGAGGGAGTAGACACACCAAACAGGGCTGGGTAAGGCACCTCAGAAAACCACCAGCACTCCTTGGGCTGGAGGGATGAGGGAGGATATGGTTCCCAGGAGTGAGGGCCAATAGTAGGAGCTGCCTGGTGGGAACTGGGACCATGGAGGGAAGGAACTGGAGCCATGAACAAGGCACTTAAAGCAGAGAGAGTAAGAGAAATCCCTGGCTTTCCCCTTCCTCCTGCCTTCAGTCTTCTGCTAGGGCCTCCAATTGGCTAAACCTGCCCAGAAGTCAAAGAACAGCATAGCCTGGGAGACGAACCTCCCTGAGATACAGAGTAGAGCAGCAGTGGGAGGAGAATGGATGCAAGGATACACAGTCCAATGACCAGCACAAGCTGAAGAACACAGTGGTTTAGGATGGAGGTTCTGGAGAAAGATCTCCTGACTTTGAATGTTACCTCCTTCCAGTTCAGTGACTTCAAGTAAATTATATATCATCTCTGGATCTCAGTTTCCTCATCCACAAAATAGGGATATTAAAACATTTTAACTTAGTGGGTTGTCATGGAGAGTAAACACATTCTTTTCCAAAGAAACAAGTACAACAACCATTTTCTTGGGAAAGAATTGCTCATAAAAGCTTTCTATATCCTTTGCCAAGAATGCAGAAGCTCTAAGCTGAAGGTAGCTTTTTTCAGGGGAAGGAAATGGTTGAGGGAATCTCACTGTTACATGTATTTTTCAGGACTAAGAGAACCATTAGCTATCACCACAAGGGAGACATTCAGCAATGGACACTGGCTGTAAGAAATTGAGTGCATATTCCTGGTTTTCGTTTTTCCATTCAAAACATTTCTGACACCACGGCAAAGTCCACTGATGTGGATATTTATCCCAGTTGAGTACAGCCCGACCTCACAAATAGGGGGAAAATGTTTTCAGACAAGAGGCCTCTGGGGTGACTTATTCACTTCCCATGGTGGATCTTGAAAGATGCCATGGAGTAATTCTTATTGTGTCCCAGTGAGGTGAGCAATTTCGGAATCTCTATTTTGGAAATGGGGAAGGGGTGGTCTTGCTGAAAATCTAAGTACCTACCCCAGACCATGTGAACTGAACCCTCGGTGTCCTGGGATTGGAGCACATAGGTATTCACGCTTCTCTGGGATGCCCTTTTTCTTGCTATTGTCAAAGTAGGCTAGTTAATTAAAAAATGCAAACCTACTGGGGCTATCAGATTACAAGTTGCTTTGGACTGCTTCCTGACTGGCTCTAAATCAAGGGTCGAAGTGGCTGGTTGAAAATAAGTCATTCTTTCAGTAAAACTTTTATATCATGATGATGATGATGATAATTATGATAATAGCTGTCATTTCTTGAGTGTTTACTACTAGCCAGGCTTAGTATTAAGCACTCTACACATTTTATTTAGTTATCCCAACAATCCAGTGAGCCAGCCATTATTATTATTCAGATTTTACAGATGAAACAAGTGAGCCCCAGAGGGATGATATAATCTGCTTAAGACAAAAAGCTAGCAGGAGACCAGGTATAGGTATTTCAAGTATGTCTGATTCCAACGTCTATAAGTATAGTGCCTGCTTGCCTCGTGCCAGGCACAGTGCTGGACCCTGGAGATACGATGACCACTAACATGCAGGGAAGTGAGTACAGTGAGATAAAGAGCTGTTCTTGGTAAAAAGCCCTAACTGAAAGCCACAAAGGCTGCCAAATTATGAGGACTAAGCCCAACTTGTCCGTCTTGGGAGGAATTGGGAGGGAATACCAGGGCTGCCTCTGGAATTGTCTCCCCCAAGTCTCCACACACAGATCAAAGTGTGGCTGGGAAATCAGTTCAGGTTAGTGGCTGGCAGCAGAAAAGATGGAAGAAAGACAAGCCCAACATGGATGAATGTTTGGAACCTACTGTTGTGGAACTAGAGAAGAAGAGAAAGAAAAACTGTGGCCCAGCTCTGACTTTGTGGCTTTAACAATAAAAACTTTTTTTCCATTTCCATCTTGCTAATGAACTTCTGGATGTAAATCACATATTTGAATGCTATAGTCTTTGTCCTAAGATGTCTAAAACACTGGGACAGAAGAAGTAGTGGGATGTGGAACCTGAATTTTTGGCCTCATTTTGGCACAAATATAGCAAACATTCCAAATAGCAAAACTCAATTTTTCTAGAATCAGTATCTTTTTTCAATGCTGCCAGTTTTGTGGCTCAATTCTTTGGGTTAAGCCTTCATCAAATCCGGAATGCTGTAAGTTAGTATGCCAACAATTCCTTATATTATGATTACCTTGTACTTTCCTGTAGTGTCCTAATCTTTACCTGCTAGGTAAAAACATGGCTTCTTTAATCATTCAGCGAAGCCAGGATTAAAGCACATCCTCTTGATTAGGGAAAGGCAACTAGCCCAAATAGTTCCCTTAGGTAACTGCTACTTCAAAAATGTAGGCCCTTAAAGTAACGTCACCCACCTGCAGCTCAGAATGTTCTCTCAGGAGTCGATCATATTCTTTAGAAAGTCTCTCTGATTGCATCTTCATTGTCATCACATCATTTTGTGCCTTAGAAAGGGCTAGAAAATATTGAATTGAGTTTTATTTGTATTTTGAAATAATTTCAAATTTACAGAAAAGTTGCAAGACTTAATAGAGAACTCCTGTGTAGTCTACCCAAATTCACTGTTAATGTTTTGCTACATTTGTTATCATATTTTCTCTCTTCGCACACAGGATTATTTTCTTAAATCATTTGAGAATAAGCTGGAGACACAGTATCCCTTTACATTTTAATACATCATTGTGTATTTCCTAAGAACAAAATATTCTCTAACATAACCACAGTATATAGTTAATGTAACCATTCATATTCCAATTTTGGGACTTGTCCCGATTACATCATCTTTAGCATTTTTTTTTTTTCACTTCTAGGCCAGGATACAGACCTGGATCACATATTGCATTTAGTTGTGATATCTCTTTAGTTTCCTTTAATCTGGAATAGTTTCTCATCATTCCTGTAGCCTTCCTCCCTCCATCTCTCAAGACATTGACATTTTTAAGAATTAGGCTACTTTTAAAATAAAATATTCATTTTGTTTTTGGCCAATGTTTTCCCCATGATTAAATTCAGGTCATGTATCCCACTTACATATGAATATAAGTGATGTTGAATGCTTCTCAGGGTATCCAGAGGCCCACCACATCCAACACCCTTCAATGTTTTTCCATTTTATAGTTACTGTTTTATCCCTTGTAACTAAAGAAGTAATATATGGGAAGATAATTTAGACTATGCAAACATCCTGCCCCTTAACATGATGACACACAAAAATGACTATACATTGGCCTTTGTCTAACAAGGAGCTACAGTTATGAGTCAGCAGATTCATGTCCTTAGAAGTAAAAAAATATATATGACAACACATTGTGAAGAAGATAGTATAATCAGCAAAATATGTAGAAGGGAAGAGTAGTACAGAATGAGTTAGAAAAATTTGTTGTCATACTTGAAAATTTTCTCTTATGTAGTGCTTTCAGAAATCATTTTTCCAAAATCTGGGAATCCTGAACTGGCTCTACTTATAATTCTGTATATGTAGCCTTTAGAAGTTCTATATTTGTAAATCTTTTAGGGTAGGAGTTTTAGGGAAGAAGGTGGGATTTATAAATTTAAAAGTTACTTTTTTTGTCATAGAAATAAAATTATAGGTTCTATTTATTAACAATCATTCCTCTTGAGAAGCCATCATATGGGCATTTTTATATAAATATATAAGACACTATCAACTAAAGTACTTTTTTAGTATCAGTACTTTCTAGATTGTGTTGTTAAACTTTGTGTTGTTCTGTATCTACATTGTCAATATGGTAGCCACTACCTACATGTGGCTACTGAGTACTTTAACAGTGACTACTACAAGTGAAGAACTAAATTTTAAATTTTATTTTACTTAAATTTCAATTTGAATAGCCACATGCAGTTAGTGGCTAGCCATACTGGATGGCACAGCTCTATAATTTCCTCCATGTTCCTTCCTTTCCTCCTCCATTTAGATCCATCATTCTAAATTAGGTATTAAAGACTGATTTTGACAAATTTAATGTGATGTCATTCGGTAAAGGTATGAGTTAGGTAAGGAAGACATTTTTGATGACAGTTAGATTTCAATGAAACTACAACCACAATATAAAGAGTTATATATGAGTTTTCAATTTGGGTTCTACAAAGCATTTCCTAGATGCTACTTAAAAATATCAAGCATGGTTGGTGTTATCTTCAGGACTCACCAAAAATGTTTAAGAGCCTGGGTTTCTGGCATATAAAAAGCAAAGTAGATTCCACAACCTAATAATGCCTGACTAGCCTAAACCAGTGGTTTTAAGAATGTTGGTGTTACAGTCTGAAGGCTATGTCCCCTCCAAATTCACATGTTGAAACCTAACCACCAATGTAATGGCATTAGGAGGTAGGGATGGGAGGTGATTACGTCATGAGGGCAGAGCCCTCATGATTGGGATTAGTGCCCTAATAAGAGAGGCCTCAGAGAGCTGCCTTCCCTCATCTGTCATGTGAGGACACACAGTGAGATGGTGCCATCTGTGAACCAGGAAATGGGCCCTCATTAGACACTTCATTTGCTTGTGCCTTGATCTCAGACTTCCCAGCCTATAGAACCATGGGAAATAAATTTATGTTGTTTATAAGCTACTCAGTCTATGGTGCTTTGCTATGGCAGCCTGAAGGTACTAAGACAGCTGGTCAGGAACTTGTATTGAACAGGGGTTTGTCTTAACATTAAAAAATGATTTATACTTAAATTTCTGACATGCATAAATTACTTAAGGAATTTAATACATCATAGATATCAACTCATTAGTTCCTTATTAAAAGAAGCTAGAAAACCACTTGTACAGCCTATCCAGGAGTTCCTTCTGATTATTACTGGTATGAAGCTATAACAAAACAAATGCAGGCAAATACTGTGTTTTTCTGCTATTTATAAAGCCAAGGTATGAATTGTGTTTCTTATTTTGTTTTGTATTTCAATGGATATTAATAAACCTAATGATTACTATCTTATGAATTCACTCCAATTAGGGGAGGCTGTTGTTGTCTAGAAGCCTCTTGGACTGTTTCCCAGTCCTTTCTCTCCCGTTTCATAAAAATTACAATATTGTGTTTTGGATGCCTTCCACCTCCTTCTGGAACTGCATCTGTAACTAAGAGATTATATAAACTTGTTATCTGACACGTGAATATGCTTGTTTTATTTTCAGTCATATTATTTTGGAAACAACATATATAGGGAAAACATTATTGGACAAGGAGGCTTTAGGTGATACATCTAAGTTGCTATTTCAGTTTTCTTATCTGCAAAAATGGGTTGCTATCACTTGCCAGTGGCTTTATGGAAATGCTGAGATATTTCATGAAAATACTGGCCACATTCAATCGGAGACTAGGTTATGTCCCAGGTTATGTTCCGCTAGGAATTTTTAAAGGCATATGCATAATTTATTAATACAGAAAATAACACTGATGTTAATGTTACAGTGACACATAGTAAGCTAAAATGTTTGTACAAAATGTCTATGTAAAATAACAAAGAAGGCCAAAATATTTGTTTTTCCAAGTGCCAAACTTACATTTATGGAGCTATTTGCACAACAGGAGGAGCTGGTGAGATTGATGCACTGTGTAAATGTATTGTATCACTGTGATTTCTATCAGAGATAACAGACACCACCAGCTAAATGCTACCAGGAAATGGAAGAGAAACTTTCAGAGGCTTTGGCATGGTAGCTAAAGTTGGACTGTTGTACAATAGCTGTAAGTATTGAGCCAGAGGAAAACATGTTTTATTTTAAAAATTTCCAGACAGCTAGAGTTGGTTTCTTTTCAGTTTATGTGTTCTGTTTTTGAGAACTCAAGAGTGTAATACACCGGAGCTATTCAGTACTTAATCCTCACATGTACTATTCCTTTACCAGCGATCAATTATTGATCTGTTAATCTACAATAATGCTTCCAAGATACTTCGAAAGTAGACACACAAACTTCTGTTCAGTACAGCACACGAATTTGTGGTTTGAATTATATCATAGTTTATATTTTGTATTTTTGTGTATACCTATATTGTAGGGTCCTTATGTAAGGTTTATAGTTTATTCATCACTTCAACCACCACCTACTCTCTCTCAACCTCACATCCATCTGTTGATAAGGTCTATTGATTCTACTTCCTTTTATCTTTCCAAATCATCCCTGTGCTCCATCTCTGTGACCACTGTCCTCACCTCCAGCTTAGATTATTGAAGTGGATTCCTCACCTAGTTGCCTGGCTAGTCTAATTCACCGTACACAGTGTTGTCCAAGTGATTGGACACATAGACAAGTGCTGTCCAACCCTCCCCAGTACCCCTAACTGTTAGCATACAAACATGGCATATGAGGCTCTTCAGGATGGCTTCTAGACCGACTGCTTGCCTCTCTCTACTGCCTCTGTCTTATCGTATGCTTCAGTTGCCTTGATTTCCTTGCGGTACCTCAGCACGCTATCTTTCAGTTACATACTGCTCATTTTGTTACAACATCTTGTTATTTCCCTTAACCTCCCTGCCTCACTTATTCTCTCCAATTTCATCTGGCTAATGTTGTCTTTCAAAATGGCAAGAAATTGTCCTTCATTTCCAGGTGCTGGCTTCTATGAGATTTCAAGATCACTTTCACCAAAGCACCTATCACATTGAAAGGCAACTATGTCCGCGCTAGACTGTGGACTACTCAAGAAACAGAGCTGTGTCGTATCTCTGTCTGTGCACCCAGCATACTGCCTAGCACATGGCAGGTGCTTAAAATATGTTCCTTGAAGGAAAGAAGGAACGAATAAATAAAAAGTGTAAGCTTTAAGCATCTGAAAAATTAACTTGTGTGGAACTAGTTCATTTCCTGAAAAAGATAAATGTCAGGTGAACAATACAAAGTGTTACTTTAACCACCTGATGAGAATTTCGGTTGAAATAAGATAAAAACAACTATATCTTCAATCAAAAAACAAAATATTCAGGATAGCTGGAGCAAAGCAAACAGACCATTCTTGAAATATTTTGATGAAAATATACTCATGTTTCAAATATCTTATGCTATTCTAGAATTAAAAACAAAATACAAATAGTATTACAGAATTCAGTTTGGTTGGAAAAAACCTAAAGCACTAATTCTAAGAATAGGGCAGGAAATAGGCAAGATAAGCCAGGAGTATCTTGTGTGCCAGAAAGTAAGGAAGCGTTTCAAATGAAAACAGAAAAAATCTGCAGTAATGGGAATGTGTCAAAGGGACACAGGAGCCAACTGAAAGAGTTCCCAATGGCCAAAGCTGGACAACTTGAACAACAAAATAAAGTAGTATGAAATTAAAACCCAAAGTATAGAATAAATAGCCATTAGTCCATACTAAAATAAATACATTAGTAAATAAATGGGGGAGAATAGACAAATCAATGCAGAATTCCAAATAATTTATATAGATACTCTATGCTCAAGGAGGTAGAGCATAATTCCCCATTTTTTATA